TTACATCTCTAAAATGTTGCAGTTATATAAAATTYTTATTAACAATTAATAGGAAAACATTTTGATCATCATATCATATAACTACCAGTTGCATATTGCTTAGATACTTTTTATTTATAGATTATTCAAGTTGTTCAAAACTTTAAAGATCATTTTAATTTTCAACTATTTTACCATTTTCCATATGTAGTACTAATGTCTCATCTAAACTTTGTTTTTTATGACTTCTCTGAAAATGCTTAGTCATTTATGATTGTTAAGCGTTATTTTTTTTCACATGGTATTTTTTTCTGTTTTCGCCGAACCGGAAGAAGTAAAACATTGGCTGTGGTAGAATCGAAAAAAAACTTTTATTGTGCGGACCGCACAAAAACAACCGATGTCGAAAAGTTACGGTTTCTCCTGGCCAAGAGAAACACACGCACACATATAACCAAGTGAATCTTTAAATGGAGCCCATCCGTTTGTATGACATCAATTCCAAAGAGTACGACGTATTAAAAAAATTATATGTACTCACATATTACTCTTGAAAGAAAGAAAATCGTATTAAAAACATATTGTGAGTACTAACTTGTACAAAAATAGATGTCAATACAGTGTATTATGTAATTTTTTAACAAAACGGAATCGTCGCCTTTTATTTTTAAGGCGCGTCCACATACTCGTAGTATACAAACATGAAATACAGCACAGGCATATTCATCGCATACACGCGAAAAACAGACATAATATGGACGTGTTTATAAATAGTACACACAACGCTCACACGGATATTTCATGATTGCAATAACAACGGTACATCAAGGATATTAATTATGACGACTATTGGACGAGATATTTAATGTTTGTACTGTTAGGCGTTTATATATTTACTGTTATTTATTTACTGTTTGCATATTGGTAATACTTACAAAAAAATTTTAAATAATATTATCAGTGTCACTTTGTCGTTGTGTAGTGCACAGTGTAGTTTGTGGTGTTGCATTTTTTTCGAAGAGATGGATTTCACAGACCATCAAATTATAAACCTAATAAATGAATACCAAAAATATCCAGTTTTGTGGGATCCTAATGATAAATTTCATAAATTAAATAATAACAAAAAAAAATGAACTCAGTTTTGAATTACTATCGCCGAGAGCGCCAGAAAGTAAATTCAAAAACTTCCGAAATGGGTGCCAATGAAGTTTACACATCCACGTGGTTCGCCTACAATGCCTTGCTATTTTTACACACCAAGTATTAACCCAGGGCAACTAAAAATACAATTGAAGTAAGTTACATTGATAATTTAATTACCTAACCAAAAAATCAGTTTTTTTTTCGTGGGTACTTGAAACTTTTATAGATATCTTAAATCTTAATATTATATATATACCTATATTATTTTATTATTATATATATTGTTTTCAATATATTTTGAATGTTGTAATTATAATTATAATATACCTATATATGCCATTATACAATCGTCAATATGGTCTATAAACAACTACAGCCATTTATTTGGCATACATAGTATTTAATTTAGAACAAAATRAGGTAGATTAATGTATTTATTATGAATAATATTTTAAAGTTGTCAAATTATAAAAAAAATTAAAGTTTTTGTTAAATCATTGTTTTAAAATTGATCCAGCCATGTCACTCTATCATTTGTGTACAAGTATTTTGCGAATTCGTCCCTAAATGACTGACTGGTTTCAGAAAATKTTCGATCCATTCTTTGTAATGGTAGTAAAGATGATGGCTGGCCTTTTCTTCTCCGATTTCCTGGTGTTGTTTTCCTATCTTGCTTGTGGTTAAATATTCCATTTAGTGTGTATATATTAGTAGATGTAGATTTTTTCATAAAAAATTATGCATATAGCAACGTGTTAAAACTACTTTCTTAGCTTTATCAGGTTATAATAGCAATGGTTTTCTTAATACTCTAAATTTTGCCGACAAAATGCCAAGCACATTTTCAACAACGCGTCGAGCTCGGGAAAGTCAATAGTTGAACACCTTTTTTTCTGAACCTTTTCCGTGAACTTCAAGATAGGGTTTCATTATCGCGTAGTCCAAATGCAGCATYCGCAACAGACAGTTAGGCAGAGGCTTATTTCTTCCAGGTAATGGTTGTGGATTTGATATGCCAAGTTCACATTTTTTAAATTTTTCATATAGGATACTATTCTTAAACACGCCTCCATCTGAGATCCTTCCCTGACACCTAACATCAACAAACAAAAAGTTGTAGTCTGTATCCACTAATGCAAATAGTACGATACTAATACTAAAAGTGCTCTTGTAATTAAAGTACACGCTTCCAGAATTTATAGGAGCTTGAATTGTAACGTGTTTGCCATCCATTGATCATATAAGCAGTTCAAATAGTTCCATTGATTAAAAAATCGTTTTGATACATTTAAMCACTCCTCTGGTATCTGGTACATACGATATTTTAAATAATGCAGATAACAAAATAATCACTATATCACGTATGACAGATTAATAAATAATAATCTATAATTTAATATTAATATTTTTTGCCAATTAAATTAAAAAATGATTTATTTTATTGTATTCGATATTAAATAGGTACATAAAAAAATATTCGGAAAGTACAATGCACATATGAAAAAATACATTAACACATAAAAAATATTTTCGAATCTTGGAAATAAAAACCTCAAAGCTTAGTAATGGGGCCTAGAAGTGCATGCACTAAAACTATTAAAATGTGCACGACAATATTTACTTTAAATCATTAAAATATGTGCGAAATACACATTTTTTTTTTTTTGTTAAATTGTTTATTAGTATAAATAAAATAATACAATTTGTACGTATAAAAAAAATGTTTAGAATTTATTAAATATTATATATTTTTATATTTATTTTATTTTAATTATAAAATATACGACCAATTAAAATAGGTTCTAAAATATTATAAATGTATTTTAATTTTTAGTCAGCTGCAGAAGACTCATCTGAAGATCTACAATATGAAAACACTAACGTGAATAAGCATATACACAAGCAATACAAAAGTCCTCAAGGAGATATAAATGTGATTGACGTGATTGAAAAAACAACAGAAATTATTCAAAATTAAGTAAACCCAAGTAAACGGCCTAAAMGCAAGGTATTTGTATCTCCCAAAAAAACAATTTTTAAAAAAGAAATCTTCATCGGATTTCCATAAATTGGATGCAGCTTGGAATACACTGCAGTATTTTTAAAAAAAATAAAAAAATTAAAGATCGATTTGAAGCATTTGGTCAATACATCGCAGAGAAATTAAGACAGATGTACTCGGACACATGCATACACGTCAAAAATGCAATAAACGACATAATATATGAAGCAGAATTAGGGAATTATCGGTCATTTCATCAGCGACAATCTAATTTGAACTTTCCGTCATGGATATCAACTTTATAAAACTCTGCTCACTCGTCTCCAAGTTAATTAATTTCTCAGTCATCTCCAGGTTTTTATATTTCTCAGCCATCGCCAGGTTCTTATACTTCAGAACCAATACTATCTACTTTACCTCTATTATCTGAGTCAACAATGTATAACTTAGTAGATCATCTTGGACCAAATACAAATCCTATATAAAATGAAATTGATTTTCACAACCTCCTACAAACACACCAACACAAAAATATGTATACGATTTATTATACTAAAAGATTTAATTGGCTAAACTTAAATCAGTTAAAGCTAGAAAAGCYATTTTTTTGTTTTATAATTTAAGCTTGTTTTGTTTTTAATTAAAAGTATCTAAATTTTTTTTTATCTTACTAAAAACTGAAAATGTATTTTAATTTGTTTAATTTGTAATATCATAATGATTTTTTAGTACTTGTTAATCTTATCAATACAAATAGTTATTCAAACATTTATTAAACATTATAATATACGAATGTATAATATATTAATATTATATACTTTACCTGTATATATTCACTTAATACTTCAATGAGAGCTTCACAGACTTGTGGATTAATATTTGAAATAACTTGTTTCGAAAATTTAAACAAGTAAGCAAGACTGTGAAATGAATCACCTGCGGTCAAGTATCGTAAAGTGACGATGAGATTTTCATTTGCAGGTAGAGCTTTTCTAAAATGCGAATCACTTTTTGCGATCTTGGGTCCAATTAATTTAAGTTGCATTTTTAAAATCACTATTGTTCATTCGACAGAAATTTGAAAAATGAACAGCTTCGTTTATTCTTAAATCATTTAACAAATCTGTCCAACTATAACGTACGTTGTTTTTAAAAATATCACTGACGTAAAACTGGCGATTTTTTTTTAATCTTTGGTTTTTTTTTTTTTTTAAGTACGAGTATACTATTCATAACAATGTACGCGACACTAGCAATAATAATTTTGAAAAAAGCACAATCACTCTGCATTAATACCGAAACTGAACTATGGGTTCACAATCTTTATTTTATCATTCATGGACAATAGTAAAATCAAAAACATCAAACACTATGTGTACGATGAACGTTTGTGGAGTATGTAATGTTTAMAATCATCACATATGATTTAAGTGCGTKTGCTGTATTTCATGTTTGCGTACTATGTGGACGCATCTTTACTCATTTAATGTTTCCATATTATACGCAAACACTGTTGGTTTCTTGTATATGACGATAACGATTTCAGAGCTGAAGTAAATATATACCGATCTTTGACACCTAYATGCTTTTCTATTTTACACTGTTAGTAGGTAGGAGTTACACCTTCGTGTTGCGCTTGTGCTCATCGTATAAAATAATTCCTACCACATAAAATATGTATACATAATTGATAAATATGGACGTGACCCAAATTCAACATAATYCAATTTAAAATAAGTTTTATGATCGATGATTGAAAAAAAAAATAACAAAAATGATTATTGCGGACCATAAACTCCATAACCTTAATATCATATTTTATATTTCATATTTTGTCAAATACTAATCAAGTTTAATGTTTGAATATATTTAGAAAGATCTGTTCGCATCCAAGCTAGAAGCGACCGAGTCGAACGCACGAGATAGAAAACTATCGTCGTCGTCCAGTGGCAGCATGAAATCCAAATGGTTAAAGGCCATCAAGAGCCTGAAGACCACTAGTGGGCCGACCAACAACAATACGACGCAAAAGGATGAAAAGTGAGTGATTTTATAATAATTTATATTATAATTATACATGTATAATAGATATCCATGTAATATAATACTGAACTAAAGTTTTTATTTGACCAAATAATAGTAGGCACGTCTTAGATTTCTATAACATTATAATATATAAATATCTACATTATATTTTATCATAACGATTATTAAATTATTTCATTTTTTTCTCTATTGATTCGTATTTTTATAAGAAATAATAATGTATATTAGTGTTGAATATTACATTTTATTTACTATTTTACCATATTTTACAATAATACATGTTATATTCTCAATTTAACGTAGCTAACAGGAAAAATGTAACATATTRTACAAAAGTAGGATCATAAAATACCAATTAACAATCTCATCGGTCAGTTAAAATATTTTATATTTATTATTATTATTAGAAGAAGAATTTTATGTTTAACATTTGCAGGTACATGTTCAGACAACATTTATTATACCTAGCTTATTAGACACTAAGTCACAAACTTTATTATATATATAAATAGCTATAATACGATAGCGATACATATGTGTATCCAATTAAAACACTACACTCATTTTTTTAATACATTTTTTGTGATTTTTGAAAAACAGTAATTGTTATACAGTGAAGTATTACACTTCATATTTTGTATAAATAAAATCTAAATTTTAGTTGTTATATTGTTTTTAGATTTACTTAATTTTTATTATTCTTATTTTTTTTAAATTAAAACTATATAAAAGCACAAAACAACTTGAATTTTTCTGCATATCGCAAAAATACATTGAATCATTATAGTTACATATATTTTTTCTGATCACTKCTGTTCCCAATGTAACAAATATAGTGCGAAAAATTCTTATATATCATAAATTCGGTTTATTGCGTCTTGTAAAATTGGTTTAAAAAAAAAAAAGTGCAATTTGTTTATTTGTTAATGTTTGGTTGCTATTCCAACTGTACCGAAAAATCGTTAAAAAAATCTTTAAAATATTCACTGTAATCCAATATCAATTAATCGTTATTATTGTATTTTTTTTTTATATCCGTGGCAACTTTAACGGTAGTAAAAAAATGTTTTTCCGACCCAAAACCATAGTATAATATAACAAGTAAGGTAAAAATAAAAATTATGAATTCTTATATAAATTAAAAATTTACTTACAGTTAGTGTAGTTATTTAAATATGAACCACCCCATCGTATAAATGTCGAATCGCTATTATTTGTATATAACAATGATGTATACATTATGTGATATAACACTGTATAGAGTATATTTTATGTATACATAGGACTGATGAGATTGGTCGTCTAGATAGATTAACGTTTAGTCAGATAAGTAGTCGATCGTGTAGCCTACGGCGGCTAATGAGCTTACAACTCGAATTCATATGCATACAATAATTACTTAGGAATTTTATCACGCAAGCATAATAATCAGATTTCTATATACGCCATATGAACTTAAGTGGATAATACTGCGAACATAATATAACTACGGAAACAAAGCGATAATGATACAGCGTTACAAATGATGTAAGTTACATATTATTATATTACACAGTGTTAATAAGAGAAAACCATTTTTATTTTTATCGATATACTCCCACGGAAACGGACATTTCTCCAGCCCCCCCAACACCAATAATGTTTATCAAAACATAACTTAAGGTTTGTAAGTCGTTTGTAAAGTTTTGTAAAAACAAAATTTTCGTTTGTAAAGAAAACCGAAAAAAGTTATGACCATTTCAGGATGGGGGGGCTGGAGAAATGGGTGAAAACCACGGGATTTGGAAAAACCAAACTTTTTTCGGCTCAGTCGTTTGTAAGTCGTTTGTAAAGTTCTGTAAAAACAAAATTTTCGTTTGTAATAATTGTTGCCGTTTCGGATTGTATACCATTGTTTTAAAATCTAAAACAAAAGTTTATCTCGACGAACCGTTGTCAAAATACACTTAGGTATCACTTATAGTATGATTGAGTCAATCAATCGATCTCTGCAGTAGTACATGTAGTAATACTGATCATAAAACCTAACCTATTTTAATCGTATTGTGACTACTTATGGTTAAAGCTATGACGTCTCCGTTTTAATACACCACGCCTATAGACATGGGTGGATAGGCCATTTTTGGCCTACCGGAAAATTTTAAAAAGAGGCCTCCACATGAAAAAAATTTAATAATATATGATATTAAAGGGCCCCATTACCGAAATGCGAAGGGGGGCCCACCGGGAAATGCCCGGTTGCCCGGTAGGCCTATGCGGCTATAGAGTATAGAGTATATGTATATTGTATAGCTGTTATAATCTATTCCTTTGCTAGGTATCTGTAATACGTTGAGTCTAAAAACATTTTTTTCTATATCAAGATGAAACTGTATCAGTCTGTTATATCACATATAGGTACTATTGAAATAGATATAATTCTGTTCACGCGTATAATTTTGTACTGCTTTAACACCAGCTGTCACACATGCGCACACGCGTCGTGCTAAGAGTTCTCGAGAAATCGAGGCGATTTGTGAACATGTATTTTTATTAACTTTGCAATTACATTTAATTCCACTAGTAAAATTCATATCATTTTTAGTATCACTTTTCACTAAAAAAAACTGATAATCATATGATCAAATATACAAATTTATAGTTAATACATTTAATTAAGTATATAATACAAAAAAAAAAGGTGTGAACAAAATTAAAGCTAGGTAATTAAATTACCGACAATGTAATACTTCAAACTTACGATTGAACAAAAATTATTGCATCTATTTTCATAATTATTTGAATCTGTTATAGTTATTTTATTTGTTTCCAGTAAACGTATATTATACACATATTAGTTCACATTTTTTTTTTACCTACAAAAAAATAAGCGAGATGTCATTAGGAAAATAAAGAATTTGATTACATAAAATATTTTAAAATATAAAACGTATTATAATGTTTTATAAGATAATCACAGTAGTTTAATCAAACATGCTTACCCCATTTTCTCTATACCTATAAATTTATTCAAATTTTATACTTGTAATATAAAAATATACGTATGGGCCATCATTATGTTATATAGATTTATTTTTAAATATTATTTTCAAGTACTTAGATATTTTAATAATTTWATGAATTCTTTGCTATGAGTTATCAACTAGTAGATTTTTTAAATATATTGAGTCATCTAAAAAGATAAATTGAATRAATAACTTCTGATCTAGTAATATTTATATACTAAATTTATTTATTAATTGTGAAAATTGTCAGAGTATAATAACTACCAGATTAAGTACTACATTTATTTTATATTTTATGTAAAACCATTATTAATTTACTATACATTTTCTTAGTAGGTACATAAAAATTAATGTCTTGAAAGCTATACTTGTTTAAATTTTGATTATTTTTTTTCTACGAATTGGTTAGTTCTTATTAAAAAAAAAAATGTATTAACAGAAGACCAGCCTTAATAGAATAATATTTAAGTGTATTCTTTATTAAATAATAAATTAAGGGGGGTGATAACGGTTGATACATCACTCTGTATTAATCATGGTTAATTTTAATGTGGTTTATTACCATAATAATATTAATTTTGTTTAATATATTAATTTCAGTAACGATTTCAATAAAATATTCTCTAAAATCCTATTTTTTTTTTWWAAATAAATTTGCTCGTAAAAAAATAATCATCCCTCGAGAGCACGGGAAACTAAAATTTAAAACCCTGTCATAAAATGTCATTAATTATCATTTCTGTATTCATATGAAAAGATGTAGTGTCTTGCATAAAGTAAATGAATAACATCCTTAGTTAATATCGGTCAATTGGTAAAAAATAAAAATTAACAATTGCATTTTATTAAATTACTTTATTACAGATGTTTTTTTATTTTTTTTTATAACAATCATTCGAATAAAATATAGTATCAATTTTTCATAAAGCCCACACTGATTTGTATTTGATTTGTAAGGAATGATATTATATAGGTATACTTTGGTTGAAATAATATATATTTGAATAAAACAATATATTGTCGTAATATGATTTTTATAAAAAAAAAATAATAATGCAAACAATTTCCCTGAATGCATATTACACCATTCTTTTGGTAAATTCAAAGAATTGTATGTTAAAAATGTAATAGCTATGTAGCTATAAATAAATAGAAAGTATTTTTTTAATATTTTATACTTTATGCGAAATGTCAAGTATACTGTTTTCCGATATACGTAGTTATTTTTATGTGAATATGAATTCGAGTTGTAGCTTAATTATCCAACTTAGTATCATTATTTAATATATTGTATATTAATTTAGTTGTTTTTTATTCAGCTTTACTAACATAATGTTTTGTGTGTTTTTTCATTTTTTGTTTGGCTGTTTGATGTGTGCTCTCGCCAAATAAAAAAAAAATTATTATACTTATACCTCGGTAAAAAAAAAGGAAACACCAAATGTACCACGCGGTATCGACCATAATTGCAATGAGGTAATTGTTTTATTATTATTGTTAGTATTTTATACTTTAATTATTATTATGCTCACATGTACATTACAGGATATTATATTGAATTCATATAATATTTATGAGGTACTGACCGACCGGTCAATAACAACAACAATAATAATGGGTATTTCCTATTCTTTAAGCTTTTGTACWTTTTTTATTGTGTCGTTGATGGAAACCAAAAAATACATTACGAAGGTCGTAGGCAATTTTTGTTCCATGGTATTTTACGGTGTATAAAAACACGAGCGAAAAGTTTATAATTCAAAAACGAAACAAAATATTTCGGATCGATCAGTGATCACACATTGCTTTTTGAGGTCTCGGTCATTATTTATGTATGTATACTATTGATATTCACGTCCTGGTGTGGACGTTATACTTAACGATTTTCCCTCGAGACGCTCCTTGTCTTGGATATATAATATTATAGTAACATAAACAACCCACAAAGTTGAAAATATATTAATAGCCCTAGCCAAATTCAATAAAAAAAACATTTTTACAGGGCGTTTTTTTTTATTTTTCCTGTCTTATAATACATAACAAGACAAAAATATAGATCATGTTTAGCAGTTTCATAATATTATCGTTAATGTTAAAATTTAAGTAAAATTACTATAAATAATTATATATATATATATATATATAAACATTCACTCATCGATCGTGTAAGATAAAAAATTTACATTTCGTTTACATCTTAGTCCCTAGTACTATTTAATTAGAAATTAGGGTTTACCAGTAGTGATCATTGTGCGATGGAACGCCTATGAAGACGTGAGTGAGTTCACCATACGGCGAATTGGTACGTGGCGCGCTCGAACACCTCTAGTTACCTAACCTAACCTTACCACCTAACCATATGGGGACGAGGTGGCCGAGTGGTCTAACGCGTCGGCTGTGGCTCAGCCGGACCGGGTTCGATCCTCGACCATCGGGCGGCATTTTTCTCCGGACACCGTGACTTGCCCGGAGAAAAATGCCGCCATCCCCCACTCCGGGGCATGACAGAAACCTACGGGCTTACCAATAGAAATTCTGCCAAACAGGCGTCCGAACCTAGACCTTCGGCCTACTCCCGGACATAGCGCCATACGAAAAAAAAAAAAAAAATGTTAATATTATCAATTATCTTATCATTATTCAAATATTTGGTTAGATACANTTACCAATAGAAATTCTGCCAAACAGGCGTCCGAACTAGAACTTCGGGCCTACTCCCGGACATAGCGCCATACGAAAAAAAAAAACCTAGTACCATTGGACAAAAGAGATGCGTAATTGTAGCGATGACATTTAGTATCGGAAATATCTGAATAATGAATGTCCAAACTGAACTTAATCTGTGCTGTTGTTGACAAAATGTCAACGTCAACAAAGAATTTATATAGGTACACGTTTTTCCACGTATTTGAAATTTAATATTTATTATAAAATAATATCATTCGCCGGGTTTGGTCATAATTACTGTTTCAACGAAGGTCAGAATTCTTTGGGACTATCAAATAATATAATATGTATAATTTGTATTATAAATATATATTAAGCCATTGTAGTTCAGTGCATTCTTTTAGAATTTTTTTTCTGCACGCTTTTTTCTTTATTATTTCTTTGCGAAGTATTTAATATTTCAATATTATATTTTTTCGTAGAGATGTAGTATTACTCAAAATCTATTCATTGAATATCATAATAATATGTCATCCAATATCATATAGGCAAAAAAAACTGGTTTGAATACTTTAAATAATTTTTTATAGATTTTGACTTTATTATTAAATTAATATTTACCTAATTATTTCTGTAGTATAAMTATACAAATCAATATTTTCGGACATCTGAGGTAGGTAAATTCAATTTTTGATGCATAAGTAAGTACATACAACATACTTTTGAAAAATCAACAGTATCTGTTCTATAAGGTTTTTGATATTAGAAAATTCTAGTTAAGATCAAGCGAAACCAGTCGAACAAAATTGTATATATTGTTATTTATGTCTCAATAACACGCTTTACCGATAATCAGTATAGGAACGACTCGATGACTTACTTTGTGGACATTAATATTCAAATCAGATTCTTTGGTACCCCGTGATTACTTACTGCATCCGCAGAATGTATAGGTTTCCCGCCTTCCCTGATGGATTTATTAGAAAGTAGAAATTATGGAACTAAAGTATATATTAATGTACGTGCATTATGTATCTACACTTAAGTATTATACATCAATTTAATATACCTATTACATACCTGCTTCTATACTTGTATGTATAATGTATTATATAATATGTTATATGCTTATGTATAATGTGAAATGAATATTTTTATATGATATTTAAATGTCAGTTTAAAAAAAACGGATCAATGATTTCTGTGACATTAAGCGTAAAGATGTCATATATCATTCGGTGGCAATATCACTTAGTCCAACCCGGGATAAATAAATAATTCAGTCGCGCAATATATTATATTAATTCATACTTACATATATGAACGTGGGATATAACGTATGAGTAACCAACGGCAATACCTTTTGCCTCCCTTTTGGCTTGCTGCAGCAGATTGATGTGAAGGAAAACGCATTCTGACACGGCAAAAGGAAAATTACAACATAATATGTAYATAATATTATATATTTAGGATAAGGCATTATAATGTATATCTAAGGGGACGCTTTAAAGTTTACCATTTCGCTCAACAATACTCACATTTATATAGTATAAAGTTATTTTTTTAAATTTTCAAATAAATATATTATAAAAAATATGATAATCCTAAATAATAATCTATATTGTTTGAAATAAGATTATATTATATAAAATATGGATAAATAATATAAAATATTTCTTAATTATAATACCAAGAAATTGTTGTATAATAGTTTATATGATATAATGAATACATAATAAATAATAAGATAACAGTATTTGTGGATTTTAGTGACCTATGTAAAAACTATATAATTGTGGCCTATAAAGATAACTCAATTATTATTTTACAATATTATATAACCAGGATTTTGAAAATGTATCGATTATGATTAACGTTTCACTTAACGAAAGACTAAAAGCATACAGTAAGTTTGTGATCGGTTAGAACCTCTTTTAATATATATATTTTTTTTTCATTAAGACAAAATATTTTGTGTTTTGTACCTAGGACATAAAAGTGTGTTTATGTAACATATTGTTTAGAAATATAGATTAAAATCACCCAGCTGTAGTTAAATTTTTTTCAACCGAATGACACGCTGACCTTCAATATAATAAACAAAGAGTGTCATTATTGACTGAGCTTCATAACTTTTTGTGTATATTATTATTATCTTTTTATGTATTCCATCATAAGCTACACACACACACACACACACATATATATATATATGTGTATTTTCATTGAGATTTTTTTCAAATTTTGATTTCCTGATTTTGTTATTCTATGCATTAACGCCGAATAGTTTTGGTAAAATTCTGACAGAATCAAAAGTAATTTATTTCGTTCTGGTAGTGGHGATAACCTATTATACGATTTCGGCCGAACTTTGACTTTATGAATATGAAATACATCATTATAATACGCGAATCGTTATGACACGGATATAAAGCGTACGCAAGTATAGATGTATGTATATTTGTGTACAATAGTAAAGAGTACCACACAAAACACTACCCATAAATATAGGACATACACATACAGCCTACTGTAAACAATCTTACAAATACGAAATAATGATCTCCGCTTCTTTCATTATAACCCTGTTGGTAAATTTGCTAACGAAATATGTCTAACCTAAATTCAGTTCTAAATGAACATTATTGTCGAAACAACTAAACTTAAATCACCTTTCGTTTAGCCCCAATTGTATGGTAGGTATACAATAATATTATATCTGTACATACAGCCTCAAAGTTTTAACTCAAATTCATTAATAATTTAAATACTTTACTGGTAAGTTCTGATCATCCATAAAATTATTTTGGCAAGACGTATACAATTTAAAAAAAAAGTTAATCTACTGAATTTATTCAGTTATATAAAAAATCTTTCTAATTAAAAATTAAACAAACATACTCGTACATTTAAAACATCAAATACACAGCATTTGAAATTTGTCACGTTTCATTTGTGTGGGTATTTGAAGTCAACAAAAAAAAGTCAACATATATTGTACTATATTATACAAGTAAATAATTATAAATGCATATCTCTGTATAGTATTACATTAAAAAAACCTGTTACATTTATTTTAAAAACCCGTGGTATAAATTGTGATAAACATGATGTTTTTATATTTTTAATTAGATAGTTGGATACATATTAATATATTCTATATTCTATTACTAAAATATGATAATTATTCTCAAACTTACAGTTTAATATATATGTAGATAATTAAAGTAGAGTTGATTATTAGAAGTATAGATATGTATGACCTTAAGTAATATAATATACGTATGTAACAGCAATATATAAAACGCTTTTTTAATTTTTAATTTAAACAGTCAACATGGTAATACGCATACATTTCAGATGTATTTGAAAATTAATAGGCATTTATGTTGGTCGACTTTTTAACTAAAACTGTTTCTTTTTCCGGTAAATAGTAAATATATTACTACTGAAAGTTTTTCCATCTGTCAATGGCTTCTATCCACTTTCTCTTCAAGATTAATCACCCCACGTAGTACTACATGGCTGAATTTTCTAGAAACTATGTGTTTACTTCAAACCAATTTAAAATGTTGGCTGGGTTTTATTTTTATTTCCAGAAAATCAAATTGTAGAAGCCATTAGTTACATTGTAAACATCTAAATTATGTATTTACACAATATCCAAATCAGAACACTCTACACGTCATATTAAGGTAACCACTAACCATATTATAATTACAGTCTTAAAAATTAATCATATAGCTACAATGCTACATCTGAGTGTTACTACCGGGTTATTTCTCTTCTGATATCTCCAGGTCTTTGTA